TCCACTCCACCATCGCCGCTCAGCTGGACCACTGCCGGAACCTTCCTCCTGGCCTCTCTGCCTTCACTCTCATCCATCCTCCACAGACAACCTCTTCGGTGTAACTCAGGTCACATCCCTTTTTGAAACTCCAAATGGCATCCCGTTCACTCAGAATAAAATATGAAGTGCTTGCCACAGTCCCCAAGGCCCCACATGGTGGCCCCAGACTGCCTCTCGTCCGTTACCCTCTTCTCTTTCCTGCATGCGACATGTCTCTGCCACGCTGCTCTTGTCTCTGCCCCTCAGCCTTTGTTCCTCTCTGTGATTTCTGCTCAGGACAGTTTTCTTCCCGTCTTTTCCCCAGCTGGGATTCAACTCAGATGACCCCACCTCAGAGATGCCTTCCCACATTCCGTAGATAAAGTGCCCTATTTTATCTTTTTCATGGCATTTAACAAGTTATCGTATTTGTGTAGCTGTGTATCTGTTTATTGTTTGCTACCCTCGCTGAACTCCTTAAGAGCAAGGACTCTGTCTTGTTCACTGGTACACCCCAGGGCCTCGAACAGTAAATGTTTATTGATGAGAAACTGAGATAACTCTTCCAGCAAAGATCTAGAGGCAGTGTGGCACGTGGGTGTGGAAAGAGCTAGAGCTTTGGGATCCAGTACCTCTGGTGCCGCACTTACTAACTGGAATAGCAAATTGGCAACTCTGGGCCGTTTTCTGTCCTAGAAGAGGTGTTATGAGAAGGGTAGAAAACGTGTCAAGTGCTGTCAGGACAGTGCCTCCCACATAGCAGCTGCTCCAAGGAGGCAGGTGAGTCCAGAGGGCTGACTTGGTTCCCAGGGCAGGGCCCTCTCCTTCATCCAGGATGGCAATGGCTAAATGCTGGGGTGAATGGAGGAGTTAAGGATAAGGGAAGAATGTAAAGAAGATTCTGGAATCATTGCAGCATCCCAAAGAGACTGTTGATCCTCTTGAAATGATGGTGTAAGGATGGTCCTGTGGGAAGGGGGTGAGTACCTTGCATGACTGTCTTAAGAGCCTTTGCAGTTCTAGAAGAGCAAAGAAGCAAGCATACCTTATACTTTGGAGGCTCTGGGTTGTCTGGCCTCTTTCTGGTGAACAAGAGAACATTCCTTTTAGCCAAGAGCAGGGGTTCCTCAACCCCCAGACAGAGCACTCTCATTGCCTCTCCTCCCAAGCATGGATGGGAGGGCCTCCCTGGTGCCTTGTTTCCTAAACCAGAGCCCAGAGACTAAACAGGGGCAGAGCCAGGGAGGTAGGTAGAGCTCGATTCGGGCCTGTACACAAAGGTTGCACTGTGTGGATGGCCCACAGCATCCAAATTGTATTTACTCAACATGGCAACAACGTAGGGGAAGTTCCGTGCTGTCCAGACACAGGGGCTCCTCAGTTCTCACAAGAAAGTCCCATAGAAATGGAAAGTAAACACAAGGGGTGATTTTCTTCTGGCCTGGGCAAAGTCAGACAGGAACCACGGAGTGGTTTCCACTCTGGCTGGCAGAGCCAGGCGGAACGGGGCAGGGAGGGCTTGGTAAGCAAGATCAGGGCCCAGGAAAATGGAGTGGAGGCCTGCAGTCCGTGAAGACCAGTGTCAGCTACAGTAGGACGCAAAGGGAGAGGAGTTCAGAAAACAGATGTCAGATGTGGAGACTGGCCCGAGAAGAAAGGACGAGCTGAGGTCAACAGTGATCAAGACCCAGAATGGGGATGCATGTCCCAAGGGGTGGGTTGAGGGTGTCAGTGACTCTGGGAGCAGGTGCCCAGGCCCTGACACCACAGGCTGGGTTGGATGGGGGAGGGAGAAAAACGCACCTTCTGTGAGGACTTTCTGTGTTCCAGGCTCTGTGTTAAACACTTTATGATCTTAGGAACAGACAAAGAACGCTTAGTCCCAGGGAGGCCGAGGGGTCCCAGGATCCCTATGGGGACTAATAGGGACCCTGAAGTCCTTCTCAGAACTAAGAACAGTCAGAGTGAGAGCATGGCCTTAGTAAACCATACTCAGGGCTGAGAGAGAACTACTGAAGAAGTTGCTCACCTGCCTGGGCCTGAGTTGGTACTGTTGGACCACTGGAGGAGGTTGGTAGTTGTACCTGCCAGAAATGCAAGGCAGAAATCCAGGCAAAGCCTCCAACAGGCTGAGCCACTGGCCCCGGTCCATCCCAAAGACCATGCTTCCTCCATTTTACCTGTGCAACCCAGTGGCTAATAATAATTTCACTATTTATATAACACTTAACAGTTTTCAAAGCACCTTCACAAATTACCCTACTTAACCAATGTCCGTTGCTGGATTACCAGGCCCTGGAGTTAAGTGTTTCATAGATTATTCTGTTTGACTTCTCCTGTGTGACTCGGGCTAAATTTCTTGCCCTTTCTGGGCTTCAGTGTGCCCAGCAATGTGAGAGAAGGCAATAATCTGTCAGTCTTCCACAATATAGAATGAGAAGCCTGGAGAGGGGCTGGTGGTGAGTGGATTTGCCAGGCTTTCGCAAGCTCTGGAGTCCTTAGACATTCTAAAGAAAACCCGTTCACTGGCCTTCAGGAAAACAAACTCAGACCTATTATAGTCTTTCCTTCAACTGAGTTTTTAAGCCGTAAATGCTTCCAGAAGCCTCGTAGTTCTCTTGCTTCTGAGCCCCTTGCCAAGCCCAGTTTCGAGACAGGGCAGTCAGGGAGGAGCTTTTGACTCCTGTATGGCTCTATTTTTATCTGGCATGTATCTTCCTGCACCGCCAGTGATTGGCGCCTTTGGAGCTGAGGTAAAGTGCGCTGTCAGCAGGACCCGAGCAATAAATAGCAGCGGACAGAGAGACTGATCTGTTACGTGGGCAGGAAGTGAGACAGATGGACAGACCGACTGGCCAGCCCCTTTGCCAAGAGCAGCTCAATTAATCACCCTGTCCCTAGAGCCCCTCCATTGTTCCCGGAGGACAAGATGTTCGCCTCTGACCCTCCTGACGCTGCAGGTGTGGTCAGACAGGTGCGAGTCCTGGAGCTCCGCCCAGCGGGGCACGACGCGGGGGCAGCAGACTCCCCCACTCTCCCCCAGCGTTGTGGGGACTCTGGCATGGTGAATAGAGGTGAATCCTGTTACGTCTTTCTGTGAAATCAGCATTTGGTGTTTAGGCTGGAAGGGGGTGAACTTGAATAACTGCAGGAAGCAGTGAACAGGGACCTGACTTTTCCTCCAGAACAGCCTGTTTACAGAGCAGAAGGCCCAGGGCCCCCGGAGGCTTTCCTGGCTCTAACAGAGCCTTCTCCCCCAAGCTCTGCCCCACATTTACTTAACTTTGCCACGGGCGGGTAGTGGGGGCGGGGGTCTGCCTCTCCCCTGCTCCACGGGGACAGCATCACAGCATGACCGTGATGTTTACTTTGGAGGGAGTACCCAAATAAGAAAGCTTGGAGATACTTTTAGCACAAAAAGGAGGGCCTAGGCAGTGTGTGTGCGTGTGTGTGTGTTTTTGTGTGTGTACGCACATGTATGTGCGTGTGTGTGTGTGTGTGTGTGTGTGTGTGGTGGACAGGGATGCATGCTTGCAGCTGGGGAGGAGAGTGCCTCGTCATTGTAGGCCATGAGCCCCACGGAAAGACAGAGATGGACGTTCTCAGGCAAACGGCTGCCCAAATGCTCCCAGTTTCAGGCTAGACGTGAGGAGGGGAAGCAGAGAGGGAGTTTGCAGTCTGTGCAAGAAATGCTGTCATTTTGGTCACAAAAAATGAAAGCCTAATGTCTCTGGGACTGGACAAATTAAAAAACATTACTAAAACCAGGTGGTTATGTAGGCTGTGTGGAACAAGGCAGAAGCGAGGCGACTGTTTCCAGCACCCGCTGACTCGCCCCGTGTGTCTCGGTGACAAACGGCACATAGGAGTGAACGGTGTCCACGGCACAACTTGGTCTCTTCAGGGAGCCTGGCAGCACGCTGAGGGAGGAAGGCCACGGTAAACCGATGACCTGCCCTGGTGGCAGAGCAGGGGCGTGGACATGCCTGTAACCAGCTTGGAGAAAACTGGCATCTAGGAAATTTCTTCAGCAGAAAGGGACAGGAGAGTAAAAGGGTGGGCGTCACTCAGTGAGGACCCTGTGGAGGACGGTAATGCGGTGTGCAGATGCCCAGCTGCCGTCACAGGAGGGCTCCTGGAAGGACCCCATCGCCTGTAGTAATAACAGCCCTTCCAAAGCGCTTATCACGTGCCAGGCCTGGTCCTGCACTTTACATGCAGAGTGAATCATTGACGCCACAGAACCACCTGTGAGAGGTGTGCCACTGTGATCCCTGTCAGGGCGCAGAAAGGTGAAGTCGTGTGCCCAAGGTCACCGAGCAGGGGAGAGATGGGCACCTCTGAGGCTGAGCCGGGCGGCCTGGTTCTCGTCCGCCGTGCTACCTGCCTCTCATTTATTTATTAATTCAACAGATATGTACTGAGCACTTCTGTGCCCAAGGCCTCAGTTAGGTAGGGAAGACAAGACACATAGACATGTTAAAAGTTCCATGAACGGCATTGGCTCACCCTATTTCCTACAGTCAAAGACCCCTCTCTCCAGGGCATTTCGCCGGCCCCGTTTGCAAAGCCTCCTCTGACCGAGGGGAGGAGCCTCCTGCGCTGTCGCAGACCTACCCCTTTTCAGGCCGGGTCTTCGCAGAATGAGGAACGGGGTGGGGGGAGGGGGGAGGGCTTGTACTGCCTCCCAGGTCCCTGGGCACCCCTCCAGGACAGCACCAAGTTTTATTCCTCTCCAGATCCCCAGAGCCATATGCAGGGCTGAGCACATTGTAAATATTCCCTAATGAGGTTGACTGAAGGGTTTTTTAAAATCTCTGAATGCAGGAACCAGTTGCAAAATGCTGTTGAAATACCTCCCTGTCACAGCATCCCTGCTCGTGGCCACAAAACAAGTGCCTTGCGGGGCACCTGGTACCGACACTGAGAAGAGCCGAGCACACGTTTGCGGTTAACTTTTGCTTCTCCTTGGTTTGCAGGAAAGGCCGGCAGAGACCAATGCCAATGTGGATGACTCGGCGCCCCCCTCGGTGGCCCAGCTGGCTGGGCGGTTTAGGGAGCAGGCAGCTGCCGCAAAGGAGGTGAGTCAGGCGGCCATGGAGCCCCTCTTCTGGGAGGGGGCTGGAGGAAGGGAAGTCTGGGTCAGGCCCAGAGGAGAGGGAGGGAGGGAGGAGGCTTGGTAAATACCAAATTAGGAAGCGAAGCCAGAGAGGGGTCCCTCTGAATGTGAGGAATGTTGCGGCTGCTGGGCCTGTGCAGGATCTGTCCCCACCAGAGTAAGGCTTACACTCTGGTGAGGAGGGAGGAGGCACAGGCAGAGAGCTGAAAGGCCTGGCCGCCAGGGGTGGGAGTCTGGATTCGTTTCCATCTTGATCATCCACTGATAGCAGCTTAGATCTTGCACAGCTGTGCCAGGCCTAGACTGGTTCAGAATAAAGAAGTCGCCACACCGGGGTCCTGCCCCAGAGCCTAGGAATCTGGAGCAAGGCAAGGCAGGGACAGACCCTAAACTGAGAACTGAGAAGGAAGAGAGGACTTAAAGAGAAGCACATTCAGACAAGAAGCCAGGGATCAGGAAGGACAGGGATCCAGTGACCAATGGATTCTAGAAGAATCCTGCTGGAGAGGACGGTGTAAAAAGGGGTGTTGTAACGTTGGAGAGATTTGGGCTAGGTTTTCCTGAGTCATACAGTCTGAGGAGCTCATTAGAGGAGCTCATTAGAAGTGAAATGAGGGAAGGGCACCCCCAGGTGGGGGGAGGTTTATCATGGCCCCTTGCAGCAAACGAGAGCGAAGTTGTGCATTTTTAGGTCTGTTATTTTGCGCCTTTGTTTTCCCATCTGAAAAATAGGTCCATAATTTCTAGACTTGATAGGAATGTCATAAAGGGTGGAGAAGATGGTATTGATCTAAGGTGCTGGCCGGGCATGGAAGCTGGGTGTGGGTGTCATTTTGAGAGGCTGTGTTAGGCCAATGAATCTCAAGTAAAAGAGGGCGTTCCAGCAGGAGAGGACCAGGAGAGGAAAAGCTCGATGTCAAAATGCATAGACAGGTAAATAGAATAATTTATATAGTTAATGGGCAGTCTCAAAGACATGCATTCCCTCCCTCCATTCTTTTCTCCTCCAGACATCCCTAAACATTCCTAAAACCAGTTTTCACTTCCTTCCTCTTCCTCCCTGTTGCCTGATTAGCTCTCTCTCTTTTTCTCTCTGTGTGTCTGTCTGTCACCCTCCCTCTAGATACCAGCCAGTAAACCAACAAGAAGGAAACCGCCTTGTTCCCTCCCCCTGTTCCCCACCAAGGTAGAGCTGGGCCAGAATGGTGAGGAGGTAAGTGCTGCTGTTGCCGGGGCTCAGAGGATGCTGGTTATGAATTTTCGTTCTCTTACATATAGGAAGAGGCATGAGATGGACACTTTTAGACCTGGAAACCTGTGCAGGGAATTTCCCCAATTCAGATTCGGGGATGAAGTTCCTCTTCTTAATGCTTTCTGAATCTTTTACTTTGAAAACTAGGGTCCTTCCTCCTTTCTCTCACCGAGCCTCATTTACAATTTGTCCAAGACAGGAACACTATTTTTCAAACCTGAGAATTTCAGCAAAGAGAATGGGCTATATAGTATTACCACACCAGATTGAGGAGTCGCGAAAGTTATGTTTTACTGGCAGGTCTGACTTATATGATCTTCTGTTGGAGAAGGCACCTGGCAAGAGGGGCTACACTTATATGAGGCAGAATTATAATGTGAAAGAATCATGTGGTTCTGCGGGATCTTGTAAAGACTGGCTGTTGTTCTGGATCACTGGAATAAAACCAGAGCACACAGGAGGACTTATATATAAATAGCCAATATTACCAACATAATAAAGGCTCTGGTATCATAGATCCTAGCCAGCAACAGATTTCCTGCCTGCATGCTCACCTATCCTTGTTTATCTAATTGGAGCTGTAAGAGGAGCCTCTCCATGCCCTATCCCAGCAGCCCAGGAATGTTCACTGTGCTCACGGTCCCTCCAGAAATGTATTTGCGTGTTCTCTCGTCCAGCCTGGGGGGCCAACCCCAAAAGAGAGCAAGCAAGCCAGAGACAGTTCAGTTCCCAAATCCCACCTCAACCACCCCTTTCCCCCCTTCCTTCTTGGGAATCAGCATCCTGATGATGGACACTGGATACCTGTGAACGTGGGCAAGCTATAGAGGGAGACATTGGAGCAGAGCGACAGTTTTCAAACCTTTTCGTCAACCCAAGGCTTGTAAACAGAAGCCCATCAGATAAAGCAGAAACTCAGAGCTACTCCTGGTCAAGTGGGGTGGGGGTGTCTAGAGCCCCATCTGCTCTGAGAATACTCCCTCCCACACCAAACAAGGGTCTTTTTCTGGGATGAGAACCCCAAGAAGCACATTTTTTAAAAACAGAGTGTTTTGTTGGGGTGTCCTCAAGTGCTGACAGTATGATTCTCTGGCTTCCTGGGGTTATCAGCCAGTGCTGTGACCAAATACATACCAACAACTTCTCTTTACAGCGGGTTAGCTCTCCTCGTGACCTTCGCCCTCTAGGCTTGGTGTCTATGTTGGGCAACAGGCTGAGGCCATGGCCATTAGGAGCCTGCTGTGAGGCTGCCCCCTGATGACCTGGACTCGGCCCTGGAGAGGTCACTGCACTGCACAGAGCCTGCTTCCTTAATATGGGACAAGAACGCTAGTCAGAGAGATGAGGGGCTGGATGGGGACATTTAATTCCCTGGAATAGTAGCAGAGTGAGTCGCGGTAGTTCAGTGACTCTGGGAGAAATAAATCTACAGGTTTCATCCCATGGGGCATGCCCAGCAGTTAAATGGCATATAACAGCCAAGGGCTAGATGAGAAGGGTGGATTTTGGAGAGAAAACCCTGCCTGGAGTGACAGGCTGCTTGCACATAGGAAGGACATTGCTTCCAGGACCGATGACTTTTTGTCACCTTGAAATTCACATAGAAATAAAATGAGCAGCCAGCTTTGTCTGTCTGGGTTGGACGGAGGCTGCTGTCCACAGTTCTACGCTCCCATAGCACAGCCTGCAGGAGCCCTAATGCCCGAATCTTTGGGGGGTCTGAAGGGAGGGCACCAGTCAGGCCACTGCTCAGTTCCTAATGCACAGTGCTGGGAAGGGTCTTTCCATCTGTTCTTCGTCTCTGCCCCTTCCCTATGCCTGCTTGAGCCTGAGACAGTGGGGTCAGCCCCTGCAGATGGGGTGACCAGGATGAGTGACCCCCCCCTCTGGAGGATCCAGCCAAAGGGTGTTTAATATACCCACAGACCCTGCCTGGTCTGCCCAGAGAAGGGCTTAAAAACACTCTCGTCTGAAAAATCAGGTCCTTAATTTCTAGACATTATAGGAATGTCAATATATCGACATATATACATACATATAGAAAGATGGAAGGCTGGTTTTTCTCAGCAACTTGCCCAGAGTCGCTTGTTAAACGGTAAGGGAAGTGCTGCCACCTGCTGCCCTTCCCAGGAACTACATTAGCTGCTATTTTGAATTCTTTCCCCTTTGCAGTTCAATGCAAATCAAGGATTTTGTGGAGCACGAGCTGGGTCCCAGCACTGTCCTATGGTGGACGGGCTGTGTTTATTGAATTTCCACTCTCTTCCAAAGATAGTGGTCAGTTGGGAAAGAGAAGAGTTTATAGTGTTACGTAAAGTGAGCTTTGTCAGCAAAGTTGTTGCTGCAGTTTCTGAAACGGTATCTTGAGAAACACTGGCTCGTGTGAAATTTTACTGTAAAGCACAGGAATTAAGGACAACCAAGTTTGGGCTGGAAGCTCTTTGTACTCACCATGGACACAAGGCTCCTTGAAAGACTGCTTTCGGGATATGTCTAACTGTGTAAACTTACGGAGCCTGAGGCACCGCAGAGCTGGAGGAGTCCTTAGAATCATTTATTCCAACCCACCCACCTGGGTCTCGGGTGAGGAGGCTGAGGCCGAGGCGTCTGTCCGGCTCCTGTCAAAGCCAGAATTAGAAGGGGCTGGGGAGGGAGGTGGCTTTCTGAGTCCCAGCCAGTGACTGTCCCACTCCACCTCTCTCCCTCAATGTTGAGCCTTAAAAAGTTCACAAATTCAGCTATCTCCCTTCCATCACTAAAATAGAATCATCTCACTCAATAAATATCTCAGAATATTTCTAAGACATTGGTTATTCTTCTTCTTATGATTTAGGTAAATTAGTACATGGGGGTGAGGGGCAGATAAAACACATTGGGTCTCCAAACTATAGGAAAATCCCTTTTCTGCCTTCGCGTCTGTCCAACAACATGGAAGTCATCTTATTCTTCTTTTTCTTCTTCATAATCATCGTCATCATCACTGTCATCATTCCTACGTGTTGAGAATCAGTATACCTGTGGAACCAGAGTCAAGTTGTGGGGGTTTTACACAAAATGAGTCAACCTTTTTAGACAATATGAAATCCAAAGACAGATAAAATTCCTGACCTACATTCGTCACAAAAATATCTCCAACTAACAGAGCAATTATATGGTTATATAGATATATATTTATATACATTGATAGATAACAATGTATATATTGTGTTGGTTTTATATATATATATATATTTTTTTGATGTTATATATGTATAAAACCAACACAATGCCTAGAATGTGGTAGATACTCGGTAAATGTCTGCTTAATCAAATTGAATAGTCGATGTTTTGGAAAATGATAATTTATAAACAACATTATTGGTGGGATTTTCCAAAATATCATTAGTTCGAGGGAGGAATTTCAATAATACGTCTGTCAGGTTTTACTCCTGGTCTGTGGTTTCTTGTTTTGTTTGTGACAAACAGAACGGATGGTCATTTTGCCCTTTCTGTTTGAAATTCCCTCCCACTGTTGGCTCACGTTGTTGAAGGTGGTGAGGTGAAGATCTTGTCCCCCTTGGACGTGGTCTGTTCCCTCACAATGACCGTGAAGTCATGTTTCCTGGAACAGGAGACCTCCTGTGTTTCGACGTCCTGCCTGCTCTGACTCTTAGATTCCAGTGGTCTTGCTAGTGGTGAGAGGAGGGTGGGAGAGGAGGGAGGGAGAGGAGGGCGCCTGCCTGGCCCAGGCCCTGAGGAGGTCAGTGGGCTGCTGAAGCTAAGTGTGAAGTGGTGAAACCAGCCTCTTCTCCTCTTCTTCCACCTGTGGCTTCTGGGCTCCAGCCAGAACCCCATCTCCCTTCACCACACTCACTCGGTTGTTTTGGTTCATTTGCTCTATAGAAATCACCACCCAATGCAAGCCACCCTCCTAAAATCAAGGTGAAGAGCTCGCCTCTGATTGAGAAGCTTCAGGTAAGTGCAGAATGGTTACCCATTGCTACCTCTGATGCAACCCTATCTCTCATCCACATTTGCATGTCTTCGGGGCTCCTAGGGGTGGCCTCGTCTGTCACCCAGAGAGCTGACCTCTGATAATCCGCTAGTGACCAAATTGCGTAAAGAACGAGGAGCTCTACCTGGGGGCAAAGGGCTAAAATAAGGACCATATCAAGCATGAGCTCATATAGTTAACGCCTAATGGTGATTGATGGATAATGGGATGCTGCGAGAGTCTTCTGGAAAAAGGACATTATAGTGCAGGAAGCGCTCCAGGAATAGCCAAGTCCTTTCTCCCAAGCCTGAACGCAGCCACACACCATGTAGCCTTCCACAGGGCTGAAATTCAGCTGCTAGACGTTGCCCTGATGCGGCCAAATTTGTTGCTTGGAAAGCATGCTGCCCTTCCTCTCCACCAATCACCTGTGTGCCCAGAGCCCTCAGCGCTGTGCTCACAGCGGGCTGGCTTTCCTGGGAGTGTAAATGAAGCAGAAGACGCTGCATTTGAGTTCACAGTCTTGTTGGGGAGACAAGATTTTCACACGTGGTACAATAAAAGACATACACACAGATCTAGACTGTGTGTAACTACCCGACTCCTACTGCTCTAGACCAGGAATTTCCAATAGACCAAACCCTTGGCATTATTTAGGCTGGATAATTTTGTTGTGGAGTAGCGGGGCTGGGGGGGAGGTGGGGGAGTACTGCCTCATGCACTGCAAGATGTTTAGCAGCATCCTTGGTCCCTACCCACTAGACGCCAGTAGCACTCTCCTGCAGGCTGAGATAATGAATAATGTCTCCAGACATTACCAAGCGTCTCCTGGGGGCAAAATCACCGCCCGCCCCACCCCAGGTGAGAACCACTGCTCTAGAATTTTAGAGCGAGAAGAGAGTAAACTGGGCAGGAGTAACTGATAAATGCTTTATGAAACACCTATACCCCGAGTGGGTCCTTAAGAATGGGTGGCTAGAAAGGAGGAAGGAAGGTACTCCTGGTGTGGGAACAGCATGAGCTAGTGCGCAGAGGAGGGGTAGGCATGATACGTTCGGGTGGGGCCTGTGGAAGACCCTGCAGCTTTCACCACAGTCTCTGTGCAGCCACCCAGAAGAACGCAGGGCTCTCAGGCGCTGTGTCCTCCCCTCTGGGCCTAAGAAAATCAGCTCATCAACTTGGTTATGAAGCCATTATTAGTGTGCAAGACAAGTAGCCACAGCCTCTGCAGTTTCCAGCCACAAGAGAGCCCAGAGATTTGGCCCCAGCCTGATTTGGGGTTAAGGAAAGCACCTCTGGTTTCCGGCCATGAGCCTACCTGGTGGAGGGTGGGGAGAGTCTCCCCTGAAGTTTAATTCACACTGAGAAGCCCTGACTCCGCCCCTGCTGCAGGCAGGCAGTGGGACTGCAGGGCTCCCACACACAACTCAGACATCCCTCCCAGCAGACTTCTGAGGGGTGTAGCCCAGGACCCCCACCTCTGCCTCCCTGCAGCCCAGCACAGCCCTCATCCAAGTGCCAGAAATTACTTCCCAAATGCTCCGGACCCCGCAGTCTTGGTCTCATTCCCCTTTCCAGTCATTAATGAGCCTCTTTGGGAAACACAGCAACTTAAGAATGAGGTTTTAATCGCTAATTGTTTAATCTCACTAAGAATGTCAGCGATAGTATGACAATTTGGCCAAGTCCCATAGGAACCTTACTTTGTTGGAAATATGTGGGGAAACAACTAAGAAATGCACCATCAGCTAGATTTTTCTTCTAAATATTCTATTGGATGAGTTATGAACTGTGATTTTTCTTCACTCGTCTATAATTTGGAGTTCAAATTTTCTGCTGGCTAGCAAGATTCATTTTATTTGCGAGCAGTTTTACAGAGAAACTTCCCCAGCTTGCAGTTGCGAGGGGAGGGAGACCTCCTTTGATGCAGGGTTCAGGTCCCCTCTGCCACGAAGCCCTCTGAGCCATCCCGGCGCGTGGGCTCCCGCTGCCTCTGTGCTCCAGACCCGTCCTTGGTCCTCACTGTGCTGCTTGTGGCGTGGCTTGGGCTCACAGTGTTGCTATTTAACTTTCATATTTTTAAGTTTTACCATGACTTCGTCTTGTCTGTATTAAAGTTCTTTCTTGAAATCACAATAGAAATACGAATACCTTCCTAAACATGTGTAATGCTCTGTGGTCTGAAGTCCTAAAGGACGTGTGGGAATTCTCCAGGACAACAGAGCCCCGGCTGGCGGAAGGGCGGCACCCAGGGAGTCTGGAGGGAGGGGGTGTGAGTGTGGGGTGCGAGTTGGGTAGTGGCAGGAGAGAGTAATGGGGACCAGATCCTAAGAGACTGGAGGGCAGGCAAATAAAAAGTCGGAGACTCAGAAAGGCTATTGGACTCATGGAAGGTCACACAGCTATAAGTGACAGATGCGATATCTGGAGTCGGGTGCGTCGGTGTGGAGAGCCCATGTACTTTCCACCGCACCATCTGCCCCTCGAGCCCAGTCCCTTCCCTGAGAGGCCTTGCTGCCCTCTGTCCTGGTCTGGAGAACATGGCTGTGCAACGATTTGGAAATGCAAGAGGAGTGAGTGCCCCTAGATGGCGCTAAAGAGGATCCGGGCCCTCATGTTCAGTCCCTCCACAGACACCTTCCTGCACCACCACCTTCTCCGTGGGAGTAGCGTGGATCTGGGACCACCTGCCTCCTCCCCCACCAAACTCAGGACTCCCTCAGGCCTCAGTTTCCTTTGGGTAACCTCTCCTCTTTGCTTGCCCTCAGGGTTCGTTTTAATCTGGTTTCACCTGCACTGTGATGCCCCAAATGGGGGCCCACACTGGCATCTGTCCTGCTGGCTCCCTCCTGGGAGGGCTCAGCAGGCTACCGTGTCCCCTACTTTGGCCGTCTACCAAGGAGACTTGAGGGACAAGCAGACCTGCTTGAATCCCAGGGCACATTTCTTAGCCACTTCCCTAATTTGTGCCATGAGAACAAAACTGAACACGTAGGGTCGTTGTAGAGAGAGAAACCACATGGCCCGGCAACAGTGGGCGTCCAGTGAGCAGTGACTATGACTGACCCTGATGAGAAGGATCACAAGGGTGCTGACTTCCCATGAGATCCTGGCACCCGCATGTGCTGGCAGGTCCTGTGTTGGCCTGTTTGTCTATGAGTTGGGGCCATTCCAGGGCATTTTTGTTGGATGCAAAGCAGTATTTTCTGGGTGTTCTGGAATGCAGCTTGTGGTAAGCCGGGTAGTAGGGGATGGATTCGCTAGGCAATGCTTCCAGGAACAGGACTTGATGTGATGATGGATAATTGGTTGGAAAGTAACTTGGAAAGCCTCATGTTACCTAGTCTCAACCGGTTCTGAGGCCAGGTAACCAATAAGCTGAAGTAGAAACTCTTCTCCTCACCTCTGTTTAAAATGTCTCATATCTTCTCCACAGGCCAATTTAGCCTTTGATCCAGCGGCCCTGCTGCCTGGGGCCTCACCCAAGAGTCCTGGACTCAAGACCGTGGTGTCGCCATTTCACAGCCCACCTTCCACCCCCAGCAGCCCTGGCGTGAGGTCCCGGCCCAGCGAGCCAGAGGAGGTGCCCGTCAGCTTCGACCAGCCTCCTGAAGGCAGTCATCTGCCCTCTTACAATAAGGTAATGTCTGGCTCCAAAGTATTGTGGTGCGGCTGCAGAAATGTGGGCATGGACAAGCCTGCATTATCTCTGCCCTGTTGTTGTCCTGGGGAAAAGAGGGCGCATTTGAGCTGTAGTCAGAGCTGGTTTTTAACAGAAGGGAAATTTCTCCTCTTCTTTGCAAGTGAACTAAGATCACCCCTCTCCCCAGCCTGCCTCTCCCTGTAACTGTGCCGCTCACCAGAAAGGCAGGCTTGGAGGATGGAGGGCACTATCCTTTGTAGAGAGAGGGGTGGGAGGTCAGGACTGACCTCTGCTGTGCCTGTGCGGAGTCGAAAGCTGAGAACAAAAGCGGAAGGCCTGATCGGTGATTCATGCGGAAGGGCGGGCAGTGTCACAAGGATCCAGAACACCCTGTTCTGCCCTGAGGTGAATGAATAATCCTAAGTGTCTCCGTCTGGGCTCAAATCATCCTTACTGCGTCTTGCCCTAGTTAAAGAACATCTAAATTGTTCCCTTCGCAAAAAGATGTATGGCAGGGCTCGTTTCTGTAGATGCTGCCCTGATACTTTGTGTGGGCTTTCATCAATCCCCGGCCCTACTAGGAGGAGGTAAGAATCAGAGGAACAGTCTAAGCAGGCACCCAGCAAATCTGGGCCAGAGCCAGGCAGGGGCCGGGATTCAGGGGCTCTGATGCCAGGGAATAGCAAAGGGATGTGACTTGAGAATTAAGGATGGAGAGAGCGGGATCTTCTGGGCCCTTCCAGAAAATCCATCTAGGAAAAAAGGTCAAATGTGTAGAAACAGGTAGGGCCCCAGGAAACAAACTGGTGTAAGGAGGGGATGGGACAGGCTTGAGCCTGCTGGCTAGGGATGGAGTGGAAAGCCTCCAGCCCAGCGTGATGGAGAGACCCCTGACAGGAGAGAGGAACCCAGGGGAGAGCCTAGTCTTCTCACAGGGTTTCAGTAGGGAGTAGGGTGAGGGAGGGAGGCGCTACCAGCCAGTCATGGTGCCAGGGGCTTTAGCCTTCTGACAGCAGCAAGGGAGCAGGCGAGATTATTTCTGAGCCCTGCTGGCCGTGAGGGCCGAGGCCTTGAAAACCTGCAGGGCTGGCCTCACCGTGGTCTCAGGAAAGTCCCTGGGAAGCTCTTATAAACCAAGTGTTTATTCCAAACCTCTGAGTTGGAACTAGGATTGATAAATAACAAAATGTAAGCCAGTGGGAAAATGAGATTTACAAAAATAAGACTTACAAAAATAAGATGTAATTTACATATAAATTTTTAAAGGACGCTTCACTTCAGTAAAGTAGGGCGCCCGATATAAACATTTCCAGTGATCTTCTGACCAAGCCTGTGGGTGAGGTGAGGCCTGATTCTGAGGTTCACACACTTCCCAGAGAAGAAATGATTTTCAAGCAGCTCTGCTGGGTGCTTCCAAGATGTGGCTTCTGATGATGGGGGACCTGACTCCTAGAAGGCAAAGGACTGTGGCTACTCAGCTCTCCCAGGATTACTCAGCTCTGTGGGGGCGGGAAGGGCCGAGCTGGGGGAAGGGAGGCAGCTGGTCACCAGTGTCCAACTCCGCACCCACGAGGTCCCTGTACCAGGGCCAGGCCACCAGCAGGCCCCTAACGCTCTTCTCTCTTGGGTTCACCTTTGTCAAAGTATAATTTTCAAAATGTTAAAACATGACTCTTAAACAAAATAGAGTTAGATTTTATTCAAGTTGTCAATTTATGAGGAAACCTGTAAGATGGTAAACTCACTCAAAGAACATTCAAAGAGCTAGTTACTTACAGGCCATCATAAAGAACAAATATTCGAATAAAATTGCTAAGTTAGGCACCAAACCGATTAATGTTTTACAGGGCAATGAAATCATAGGTTATCTTTTTTACTGGATGTTAAGCATTTTCATCTTCAGGAGACAAAAATCTGCAGGTACCGTGTAATTTCACAATCCCACAGGGCTCTAACCTATAATAAATAGCAAACAATGGTCCGTTCCCCTGGAAGATCAAATGATCCTTGGGCGGGCTGGTGGAGCAGTGTTTAGATGGACATTGGAAGAACATGCAGTCCTCTTGGCCTCTTTTCCAGGTTGTGGATAATTCTCCTTAACGCTTTCTTCCAGGTGCGGACGAGGGGCTCCATAAAGAGGCGCCCTCCCTCCAGGCGATTCCGAAGGTCTCAGTCGGACTGTGGGGACCTGGGAGATTTCAGGGCCGCGGAGCCATCCCAGGAGAACGGTGCCAAGGAAGAGAACGGAGATGAAGTGTTCTCACCCAAGAGCGCGGCCTCAGGATCCCCAGGATGGCCTCTGCCCACTGAGGGGGCGGCGGGAAAGGAAGCGAGGAGGAGCCTGGGGTCCCAGGAGAAGCCTCCTCTGAGGAGGAAGTCCAGCGGGACAGAGAAGCAGGAGGAGGAGGGCGGGGCCCCGGAGGAAGCCCAGCAGCACGAGAAGGCTGTGCAGAATTCCGAAGAGGAGGCCGGCCAGCGTCCAGCCGGGGAGGGGGCCTCGGAACCCCCCCACGCCTCGGGCGTGGAGGCCGAGAATGGGTGTGGGAGCCCCACGGAGGACCGGCCTGCCGGCGAGCAGACGGAAGAGTCTACAGAGGAGAAGGAGGAGAGGGCAGGAAGTGAGGAGGATGAGCCCGGACAAAAGAGCCAAGACGTAAAGGGGCCCAGGCAGGGAGCTGTGGAGGAGGAGTCCCCGCAGAGTCCCCCTGGAGGAGTGGAGGGCGGCCACACCCCGGAGCAGGGGAAAGGCAAGGAAAAGCAAGAGGAGGGGGCCGTTCCTGAGCCAGGCTGCAGCCCTGGGACCGGCGGTGCCCAGCCAGAGACCAGTGGTGAGGTCCCCAGGACAGAGGTAGGTGGCCAGCTGGTTCACCCGGGGGAGGGCAGGGCCAGGGCCAGCGTGTGCCTTTGTCACTGTGTTCCTTGCCGTCCCATCCCAGAGCAGCTGTGTGCAGTAACCAGGGCACTGGATGAGACAGGCTGTGACTGATGGTGAGGAGACAAGAGGACAAGAGAGGGCAGCATGTCTCGTGCTCCCTCTGGCTTCTCGCTGACTTTAAGTTCTGGCACACTTCCGGGTGTGTAAGGAGTGACCCAGACTGTGCGCAGCTCAGTGACTGAGGTCCACAACACCTAGTGGAGGCCTCCTGAGGCAGGCCCTGGGCTGGCTCGCTGCTGAAGGGGGATTCAGAGAGGAGAAGGTTGTTCTCCTTTCCATAATAAACTCCCATCTAGCCGCTGAGAGCAGCAGCCCCTAGGGTGCATTAAAGAAGGCCAGACGTGGCAGTGGGCAGGCGTCTCCCAGGGAACCCGAAGCACAAGCGAGGGACAAACAGTGTGTGTGTGAAGAGTGCGGGAGGAAGTTGGAGAAGCTTCAGGGCAAAGGCGGCATTTGAGTGGGGCCCTTAAAGAAGGCGCCTCTGTCACATCCATTCACGTGCAGGTGCTGACAGCCGGCGCACACCACCCTGTGCACACGCGGAGGGGTAACTCAGCCCCTGCCCTCCTGGCTGGGCCCACACTAACTGGCCCTTCGGCGGTCTCCTCCCCACGCTCCCAGGAAGCCCATCTTGGACTCACCTACCTGTGCTTCAGGAGCAGAACCAGCCTTGCCAGGACTTAGAAGTTCCACAGGCAAAGCTCCACCTCCCACCCCTACCCTATCCCTGACCTCTCATCAACAGTCGCCCTCCAGTGTTTCCCCTTCCCTTTTTGTCAGTACATTCATTCATTCACTCACTCACTCAAGCCACCATCAGCTTCCTACTACATCAGCCTCATAACTGGCTTCCTGCTTCCGCTTTTTCTGCGTATATAGTCCATTCTCTGTACAGCAACCAGAGAGTTTGGGGAGGGGGGTGTGTGTATGTGTTTAGATCATCGACTCATTGTTAAAGTCACTCACCTCCTGTGTTAATTTCTTAGGGCTGCCCTAACAAATTACCACAAAATTGGCAGCATAAAACAATAGAAATGTATTGTCTCCTAGCTCTGGAGGCCAGAACTCCAAAATCAAGGTGTTGGCAGGGTTGGTTCCCTCTGGGGGCTCGGAGGGAGAGTCTGTTCCATCTTGTCCCCTAATTTCTGGTGGCAACTCTTGGGAATCCTTCCTCGCCTCTTCCAGCTTCTGGTGGTTGTCGGCAATCCTTGGCATTCCCCAGCTTGTAAACACATCACTTCAAGCTCTGCCTCTATCTTCATGTGGTCTTTCCCTTGGTATTTGTGTGTCTCAGATGTCCCCCTCCTTTCTCTAATAAGGACACCAGCCCACCCTAAATCCAGAATGATCTCATGTTGAGATCCTTAATTACATCTGCAAAGATCCCGTTTGCAAAGATCCCGTTTCCAAATAAGGTCATATTCACAGGTACCAGGGGTTAGGATTGGACGTATCTTTTGGGGGGATACAACCCCCTACACCTCCCCACCCCCTTGGCCCATGGCTTCCCAGTGCATTCAGAATAAAATCCAAACCCTCTGTGAGGCCTTGCATGGCGGGGGGGGGTGCTGCCCAGCTCTCCCTGGCTCTCTCTTCTCGCTGTGCTCCAGCCATGCTGATGTTTTTTTGTTCTTCAAATACCCCAGGCTCATTCCCCCTCAGAACTCTGTTCTTGTCGTCCACTCTGCCTGGAACAGTCCTCCTTCTGACCCTCACATGGCCACTTCCTACCATCCTTCAGATCTCAGTCAAACGGCTCCTCCTCACTTAGACCTGTCTTGACCACTCAATCCAAAAGAAACGACCCTCCCCCTCAGTTACTCTCCCCCACTGTTCCACTGTGTCATCATAGTACATATCACTATCTGAAATTTTCCTGTTTACTTTTTTATCATCTTTCTTTACTTTTCCCCCACTGCATCCCCAGTACCTACTACAGAAGCTGGAACGTTGTAGGTCCTTAAAAAAAAATTTGTTGACTGAAGGAATAAATTTTAAAAGAAAAGAGAAAATTGCTTGACTCCCAAAAAATCGTCTCTAATGATACAACAACAGATTTAAGAGGGGTTGATGTGTTTGCGGGGGCTCTCCAGGGGTCCTCACATTATTCCCACTCAAACTAGATTGGGGAAAAGAAAGTGTGGTTCTCAGAGACTCATGACGTATGACTAAGACCCCCTCTGGTTGGGCACCTGGGCAAAAATGCTTCAGATTTCTTTGGCACCATCCATTCTAAATGAGCAGTCTGATCCCGTTAGCCCTGAGATCTCCACCAAGTCTCCAGAAGGCAGTACATGCCCCAAATCCTTACTTCTTTTTGAGAATGGAGCCACTGAGTCCACAGAGTCACCTGCCAGTGGCTGCCTCATCTTACTTTCAGGCTAGGAGGCACCTGCCTTGCCAGGAGACCTTCCCATCTCACTAGCAGCATCTTCTGGTCCTGAAGGGTTAAGAAGCCACCTTGGTTGAAGAGCTTCAGGAAGGTCTCGGGTAGAGAAGGCCTCCTGCAGAAGCTCCAGGTGCTTTGGGGCAGGTTCTCTGGAAATCTCTTGAGCTTTACCACTTCCATCTTCCTGACCTGACGCAGCCCTGGCAAGGGGGTGAGATACCCTGCACCCTCAGGAGCGCCCTTCTCCCAAACAGGAAGCCCAGGGGGAGAAAGAGTAGTTCCATTCACCACCTCTCCACAGTTTTCCTTCTCCTTATCCATCACTGAGATGTAAAACTCTGATGCCCTTAGCTCCACCCCCTGGTTTTAGGGAGGAAGAAACTGAGGCTCCAGGAGTGGACAGGAGTTGTCCAAGGTCATAGAGCTCAGTGTTGACACGATGGACGCCAGCTCCAGTGCTCAGAATAAACTGCTTCACTAGGCACCTCTGCCTATCCGCAGAATTTATTCATCTGGGCGGGGCATTGCCTCCAGTCCTCTTCTGTCCCTCTCAAGCCTGGTCAAGGTTAGCGCCAAAGTGCCTCAGGCAGTGGTGCACAAGGACTCACCAGTGAGAGGGTCACGGGCTTCCCCAGGCACCCCAGGCCTGTCCCAGGTCTTTCCTGATCAAGCAGAGACAGCACACACCACTGATAGACCCTGTCCAAGCCCCTCATCTAAGCCTCATCTTGTTCTTGGATGGTAGAAATAGAGTCCTCAGATAAACTAATTATGGTTGCATTCAACATTACCGAGCACCAGTTATCCCTAGCACTGTGTGAGTTACTGGGGGTTCAAAGATGAAAAAGACAGAGGCATAAACAAACAAACATAAATAACGACAAGACGGTAGAATAGCTGTCCAGTTCAGTGACTGAGAACAGCGGTGCTATGTGAAGTACAAAGGATGGAGCGATTCCTTCTTCAAGAGAAAGCAGGGGAAGGTTTCCCAAGTAGGCCAAAGGCATCAGATGTGTGAAAGTACCATAAGGGACTAACTTCCTCTTATGTTGCCCCTCACAAGCATTTTAACATGTCATGCTTGAAGAAGGAGCCATCCTGGGAATTTCAGTCACGGGGCAGGCTGGACACGCCAAATCACAGCACTTAGGATTCTGTTTATAGGAAACGTAGCCCTAGGAAGAGGGCACTGAATAAGATCCAGCTCCAAGACTGTAAATAAAGTATTTCTCAGACACTCATTCTGTAGCCAGTACTGTAGAGGGCACTCACGTATGCAGAGACAAACTTATCCAAACAAAGATAACCCAGATGCTTTGACGTTGCATCCAAGACTTTGTAGTGCTGACAGTAAGTGCTGACTTCCCAGTTGCCTGGTTCAGCTGCTTTTCTCAGCATCTGATTTGAAGTTCCTTTCTCCCTCGCTGGGACATACCGCTTTCTCTTGACTTTGTAATTCTCTAAGTGTTGACTTTGCTCTCTTCCTTCTTCTCCCTCTAGGTTAACAGCTGGGCAGCTCCTGAGACTCAGTTCTTGGCCTTTATCCCTTCTCACTTCTCTTGGGGCCACATCCCCTGCATTCCCACCTCAGCCCCTCCCTTAGCGTCTAAACTGCCCTTCACTGAGATCCCTGCCCCCCAGCCACTTAAGTGCTGTCCTTCTGCATCTTAATCTCTCTCTCACTGCTGACCTGCTCTGTCTTTCTGCATTAATCCCCAAAGCTAAGTCGCTCTCACACTCACCTTCTTTGCCAAGACTTGTGAGTGTCATTGGTGGAATTCACAAAACCGTGCTGATTGGATCTACCATCAACTCTTACCAACCTGGCTGAACCATATCCATCCTCACTGCTTCCTGGAAACCCTCTCACTACATCTCTGTCATCCTGTTTTCACCCACATTCCTCAAACTTCCTCCTAACATCCTCTCCGGCTCTGCAACTGAGCTCACCTCTTATGTCACTAAAAGGAAGACCAGCCAGTTCACCAATTCCTTGTTCTCTCAAAGTGTCTCCTCGTCTTGTGACTCCGAGAAGAGGCCCCTCTCCTTGACAAGACAAACGCCCTGATCTGCTGTGCTCTAGCTTCCTCTGATACCATTTTCTGGACATTTTTGCAGGACATTTGTGGAGTGTGTCTGTGCATTTTAAGTGATGGGTTAGACTAAGAATTTCCCATTTTGTTTCTCTTCTGTATTTCTAGCTCCTAACTAGCTCACCCCTTTCTGCCTACAAACATGCTCGGATCTCTCCAGTCCTAAAGAAAAATCCCTCAACTCTATCCTCTTCCACACACACACCCCTCCACTTTGTCTCCCTCTCATTTGTTTCCCCTTGTGATTTCACTCTTATCAATGATTTTGAAGCTCACAAATGCCCTCCCAGCCACCAAAGACTGGCGTGTCTTGGTTCTCTTCGTCCTCACCTCTGTGAAGCAGCTGACACTGGCGGCCTGCCCTGGAAACACCTCCCTCCCCAAGCCTCTGTCTGGCTAGGCGGCACCCCCCCCGCCCCCCGCCTCCCAAAGAAGAGTCACCACATTCTGACCTTGGCCATCTCCTCTGGCTCCCACTCCCAGGCTTCAGCCATCACGTTTTCTGAATGACTCCTAAACCTGACCTCACCATCACCTCCCAGACTGCTCCTGACTGCTTAGCGCCAGCCTAGCTGTGGTCCCGACCAGACACCAACAGACCTCCCCACTCGGAGGCCCACCAGTCCCTCACACGCAGCATTTCCAAAACCAGACTCGTCCTACTCACTCTGTTTCTTCACGTATAGTCACAACTGAAACCCAAAGTTCCTTTGCTATGCTTACCCATCTCTGCTCATTTCTTCTACCTCCATACCTAAGCCGTCCCAGGTGTTATGAAAAGGTCTCACCCCCCCCCCCCTTGTGGGGCCTTTCACTTTCTCTCTCTCCATCTCCACTGCCATGACCCCAGTGCTACCCTTTCTTTCTTATCTCTATAGTCACAACTCAATCCTAATGGAATTCCTGGTCTCCAGACCCTCCCTACACAGTAGCACCAAATTCCTCTTCCCAAAAATGCCATCTCTGTTGTCTACTCTCCTGCCCAAAACACTTTGATACTGCCCATTGGAAAATTGAGTTCACACTCCTCTGCATGCTGAACTTTGCCGGTGTCCCCAACCTTTAGCTGTTCCCTGTGATGGGGCCCAGGGCTCCAGCCAGCCTATACCATCCACCATTCCACAATAGGCAACACATCTTCTCACCCGCTCCTGCCATCCCGTCCTCCGTTCTGCCCCCAGAGATGCCTGCACCACCCACTGAGAGTGCTCTCAGCCAGCTGGGGCCCAGCTCTCACTGACCTGGAAGTCCTCTCACTGCGTCTCTGTCCTCCACAGGCCTTCCCTGATTGCCCGGATGACACATGCCCCCAGGCCATCAAGGTGGCCCATATCACGGACCACCTTGCACTGTGGATACATTCGTAAATGTCTCCATTTCTCAGCTAGAGAACTGATGGTGCTAAGGCCTGGTGCAGCTCCTCACACAGAAGGAGCTAAAAGTAATACCTTTTGAATGATGTTGAATAAATAGCTTTTTTCCTATCCTTTTACTCAAGTCTCAGTCTTTTGTTTTCAATTCTTTGTGTTCTTTTTCCGTTTTTGTGCTGCCAAAGATTCTTGAGCAGTGTTTCAGGAAGACAAAATTGAGCAGGAAGGAGAGAGTAGGTAAGAAGCTAGGGCAGGAGGACGTGGGGAGCCAGCAGTCAAGGAAGGGGCAGTATCACCCCTAGTAGTTGAGGGCTCAAGCCCTGGGCCCTGGGTTTAAACCCTGACTCTACCACTTACTACCTGTGTGACCTAGGGCAAGTTGCTTAATCTCTCTGTGCCTTAACTGCCTCACCTATAAAACAGAGTTAATAGAAGTACCTAACTCATCAGTTTTGTGAGGAATAAATGAGTTGATGAATGTAAAAAACTATGTCAGGCACAGAGCATTATTATTATCATTGCTTTTACTATTTCTGCCTGATCTAGCCTCCCCAAGGAGATATGCCGAGTGTCAGGATGTCCCCAGTCTCTTCCTAATTCTTTCTTTCCTCCTCTGTTACAGGATGACAGCCCTGTCCAGGACACTAGAGTGTGAGGAAGAGCCCATGGATGAAGCTGCTGGAGACGTCTCTTTGGAAGCAGCAGCAGCAGCAAATGAGGCCATCGCAGAGGCCGACTAGGAGGAGGGTCTGGAGTCAGCTCAAGACACAGGGTGTTTGTTTCCTGGCCTCTGCACCGTCCGCAGACAGAGATTGGATCTGAGGGCAGCAGACTTTTATCAGCTTGAGTTTGTGTCACTTGATCAACTTGGTAAAAAAAAAAAAAACTTATTTAAAACAATTTACTGTGGTGACGACTCCCAGGGATACTGATCACCCTGTGGGGCCCTATCTATCTATCTATCTATCCGCACCCATCCATCCCTGCGGCTGACCTCGGCACTGGACTCTGATTTAGCTTATCAGATTTTGTTTGTGTCAAGTGCTAGCCTTTTTACTGTTCTAAAGTTTTTACCGTTCTCAAATGTAAGTAAAAACCAATTTCAGGTGGCTAGAAACAAGAGAAAATAGTACTGCTGAAAATATAAATCCTATAAGGTACAGAAGACCTTAAATTGTATCGAGACTCCGAGGCAACCTTTCAGCTTGGTCCAAATTTGAACTGGCCAACCAACTTTTAAAACATTGGACTAGAAGAGATAATTATTGAAACATATGCGTCTGTTCCAGCAACAGGAGCTTTTCATCCTGTAGTTTTCTTGTTCATGACTACCGTGGGAGGGGGCCGGCTCAGGTCACCCCCTCTGCTAAGGAGGGAGAGGAGGAGGCAGGGAGCCACTCCCAGGGAGAGGCAGACCGTCGGGAGGTTTCACAGCTCCGTGCTGCTTCTCCTCACCCTGAAAGCAGAGCAGTGGCACCTGGACAATGCCTGCCCTCTGCTTCATCCTGTGAGGATGAAGTTTGCACCTCCAGAAGCTGGCCCTTGAGCATGGATTAGAAATTTCCTGGGAGGTGCTTTGAGTGCTGTGATGTGCAAGCTACATAATGCAAACCTCCTGCCTAGCTCCCCTGGGCAGCTGTTCTGGATAGAAGCCCAGGCTCTCCTTCCCGACTCAGGAGTGGGTTGGGGTCTTCAGTCTGCTCTCACTGGATGGCCTGTGCTTTAATGTTATGTTTGGAGAGTGCAGGAGGCTTTGCAGAGAACAGGGCTCCTGACTCCCATTCCTTGACTCATGTCCTGTTCCCTCTTCATGCACTCCTGCTGAAAGATGTTAATCCAAATAAATGTTTACTCTTGAGCGTTGGTCTTTATTCAGATTTGAGTATTTCAGTGTCTCCTTGGGCTGGTTTGGTAGGTGGAGCAGGCGTTTTGATGGAAGTCTGTTAGACCACACCCTACCCTGACTTTGGAAAATTGTCTCCCCTACTAAAAGACCTTATGTCACCACTGGTACCTCAATTTTCTTATCCCATTTACAGTTTTCCTAACTCCAGGATAGTGTTAATATTTGGGATATATATTTTTTCAAAACTATTTTTAAATATAATGCATCTTGTATAACTTGTAACCTAGTCAAGCTCAATATTATAATAAGCTTTGTATTTTAGCAGGATTTGGGAGATACATATGTGTCAGTTATTTTGAGGTCTATATAATGTATATCTATCTATCTATCACCTATCTATCTATCATCTGTCCATCTATCTATCATCTATCTACCTATCTGTCTGTCTACAGAGACGTATGCCCCCTAAACAATACATGGTTTTATTTATTTATGTCTTTGGGTTGTTTATACACACATACATATCCAGGCAAGAGTTTTGTGAATGTGTGCATGATTGTGAGGGTGTGTGATGAAATGGGGAAATCGGCCACTTTCCCTTACTTGAAAAAGGAATGGAAGCATGGGATGTAGATGTGAAAATAAAACTCTGTTTTTTTTCTCTAGGGTCTATACCTTAGAGTAGCAGATGAGAAAGGAGCAATAAAAAATGACAAGAATGCGGGCCCGGGTTCGGATCCAGGGTGTGCACTGATGCACCGCTCGTCAGGCCATGCTGTGGTGGCGTCCCACATAAAGTAGAGGAGGATGGGCACGGATGTTAGCTCAGGGCCAATCTTCCTCCGCAAAAAAAAGGGGGAGGGGAGAATTGGCATGGATGTTTGCTCAGGGCTGATCTTCCTCAGAAAAACAAATGACAAGAATGTGATGCTGAAGGAGCATGCTTGATGGTGTCAGAATACCTTTCTATCTCCCCTAGTTCCCCCATTAGGCACCTTATTTGATCTATTTTGTGAAATGCAGAGGCCCCATTCCCAGGGATCGTCAGCGCTGGGGGCTCTTGGCAGGGAATTCATGAAGCACAGGGACAGTCCCAGGGGTGCTGCAGCCTGGCTGTGTGTAGGTCTCCTTTCTGGAGGCGACCATGATTAGGTGTTGCATTCACATGGCTAATACTGGGGAGTAAAGAAACCCATTTGTGTCTTAGGTAGCACAAGGTCATCGCCAGGCCAGGCCTCCTTAACAGGCTTGAAAGAAAACACTGATTCTTCGCAGCTACAGGCTAAAGAGAGGCGTCAGAATCATTCTTCCACTACCCTGTAGTTTAGCTTGAATTTTAAACTGTGTCCTTCCTTTCTCCAGAGAGGGAGCAAGAAAAAAACTTTAGGGATGCTTTAAAGGGATATGCCCATGTTTAAAAGGGGGCTATGGTGCTGTTTCAGCTGCATGTGGAACTAGGTAACCAGATGACTACGAGAGGCCATGGGGCCTCAGAACACCCCTCTCCTCACTGAGGTCACTCTGAACAAAGCCCAGTTTGCCACACTGGTTTTGGCTTGTGACCAGTGGGCTAGACACTCAATAAACTCATGTCAAATAAAGGAATAAATGAGTGGACAGGCAACCAGTTCATCATCTTCTTTTGATGAAGTCCTCTTGAAGTGTAAACATTTAATACAGTTGAATGAAGGAAGACCTTCAGCTGCTGATGAAAGGAACCCAACTCAAGCTGGCTGATGAAAGACAGAACTAGATCCAGGAATCTCTCTCTATTTACCTATAGACTGAATAATATAAATTAAAAATCCATGGATGGACCTAAATACAATCACTCAAGCAATGTCAGAAATCTCTCTCTGTTACTGACTTTGCTTTCCTCATTGTTGGCCATATTCTCAAGCAGGCTCTTTCCAGCCTGCAAACCCAGTGGAAAGAGCTTATTCTGTTCCAAGAACTATGGGGAAAAAATTGCGAAGGTTTTCTATAGGCCCCTTGTGGATCATGTGTCCATAGCTGACCCAGTTGTTATGACCAAGAGATCAGATCGGCTGGTCCCAGATCATGTGCCCTCTCCTGGAGCCAGGGGCTCGGAAAGTCAATCCTGTGCAACCTGCAAGGACTGTGAATGGGAACAACGGGGTGCCTCAAGGTGACATCAGGGTGCTGTTACCAAAAGAAATGATGCTGGGTAGGCGAAAGCACAACAGATGTCTCCAACAGGGCAATACCTGAAACCAAACTACTATCCATTGTTTGCTAAAAAATTAAATTTTGTTTGACCCCAACTAGTTTTTGTCAACTTTGTTCTCCATGGGTCAGGAAAAAATAGTATGAACAGAATGTCTCCATATGATGCATGGCCAGGTGGCTTATCAAGATGTCAAGAGCACTGAGCAAAATTCAAGTGCTACTCGAATAAAAAGGAATTAGTTTTCATAAACTCCCCAAGAAAAGCAGTCGCATTATTTTGTGTAATAACGTATTGCTGTGTCCTGAGCTACCTGAGCTCCATGAGGGCAAAGGCAGAGTCTGTGCTGTTCTTCATTGTGCACACGCCTGTGGGTGCTCAATCAGTGTGTTACATAATGAATTACTGAACTGATGTCAGAGCTGGACTAGGATTATTTTCAACATTCATTGCTGCCCAACACTTCACTTATTTGATAAAAGATGCTTGAAATGTCATAAGAAGCAACTGATTCTGCTAGCTTCAGTCTTCCTTCCCAATCAAAATGCAAATACTTCTGAGGGAGGTAATATTTTATGCCTCCTTCATCATCACACCTCGCGTTCAGTGGGTTCTTAAAACCCTTCCCAGAGGTGGTTGAAAAAGAAGAGCAAAGTGCACAGAAGTCTAGGGGCAGGAGAAACACTTTTCTGACTTCCCAATCTTCCTTGGGGTAACCCAGGCTCCCATTCAGCCCAGTGATGTCCGGACCAGAGTGGCTATGGATGCTGAGAAGACCATTATTGCAGTTCTGCCCTCAAATCCCAGGAGAGTGATGGGAATTCTGGAGAGGCCCCTGTGTGGTCAAATGGGGCGGGAAACTGTGGTTCTTTGAGACCCCTCAGAGGAGGAGGGGATGGTGAATATGTTATGTGCTTCGTGGTGAAAAGGGAGCCACAAGGGTAAAACCACCCACCTCAAAAAGAGGAGCAAAGAGACTTCTGACTCCTCCCGCTAATTCTGGAAAGTTGTGGGCTTCTCCACGGGAGCTGCAACACCCTGGTCCTGGCATAGCCAGGGAGATGCTATGAGGGAAGCAGGATGCAGCAGGAAGAGACCCAAATGGGCTAGGATCCCTGCCTCCCTCTGGGGTACTCCTGTAAGTAATGACTATGGCCCTTCATGGAGCAGTTTTACATAAAATTTGAGAGCATTACTCAAACTTGGGCAAACTTGTAGTGTCAATTATCACACTTATCAACCGCTTCTGTTTTAAAGAATGAGTGGACTGAATTCCACTTTAACCAGCATTCAGAAATAAGATTCTAGAATGATTATATGGTTGGTACTCAAGAAGCAGATACTCATTCCCCACCAAGAAAATAATAGGACCCCCAACACTAGTCACTACTGTTGGACTATCTATGGAACCCATGGGTGCTGGATGGTGCCAAGCACTTCCCCATCAAGGCTGCACCTGGCCCTCAGGAGTGACAGTAACAGCCTTGTTGACGACCTCTGGAAAGAGCTGAGATGGGAAAGCGCAAAAGGGGCTGCTTTGCATTGCCTCTAACTCTGTGTCTCTTTTCATTCCACCAAGCACAAGGAAACACATAGTTTTAACAACACTGTTTTCTTGTGATTTAGATATGTTAATCATCCTTTTTTTCCTCTTTATAAAAGCAATACATCTTTATTTTAGCAAAGTTGTGGAGAAAAAGAAAAAAATTTTAAGTAAATAAAAAATTATTCATAATTCCACTACCTAGAGATAAATAGTGTTAATATTTTCTTCTAGTTTTTTAATGCATGTATATATGTTTTGTTTTTAATTCCTGGTTGTTACAAAACTGGGATCT